CTCTGCTTCGGCCTCGCCGCCCCGGAGCCCTGTCCCGGTGGCCTCCGGCGATGCAGCCGCCTGCGCTGACAGCTCGCTGGAGAAACGTTTCGGAGGGAGACAAACAGCAGCAGTGGAGATTTCCTCCAGCTGCCGCTCCTGCACTTGCGTTTGACGCATATGATCCGTGCACGATGCACAGCAAATGCAAGGAGCAGCACTGCAGTCACTTCTGTACGTGCTGTATGAAGAGGTGGGTTCCCGTGGGCTCTGTGTTGTGGTATTGGCAAAGCAGCACACGGTAACCACTCAGCAGTTGTTTGATGCTCCTGCTGCAAGTCCTCCTTTTCCACTGAAGCACCATTGGTTTGTCTTGAAACAGGTGGAATGGCATCCTAGTCTTTTAGATGTACCTGCTCAGACTAAGTTTGATTACGTGGTGACTGACCTAAATGGAGGACCTCAACCTCCCTCGCCCTATGACGAGCAGTACAAAAAGATCCCATTCAAGGTAAGGCTGTATTTCATGGGGGTTTCATGTTTCCTCTGCGGACTTGTTTATTTCCATATTCCACTGGAGACTGTTCTTTTCTTTGCACTTAGGGTGGTGTGATTGCTGGACAGCTGACAACAGTGGGGATGCAGCAGATGTTTGCCCTGGGGGAAAGGTTGAGGAGAAGCTATGTGGAAGAAGCCAACTTTCTCTCACCAACATTTAAGCCTGCTGAGACCTTGTGAGTCTCTCAGTTCCCTCCTGGACCTTCCTTTTCTTCCTTTCTTCTCAAAAAATAGCCCTGCGCTAGGGAAACTTCCTGACCAGCATACCCTTCTCCCCCCTAGAGCAGACTGCCTGGGCCTTCATCTTGGTTCAGCCTGCAGAGCCCAGTACTAGAACTCACAAAGCATCCAATTCCCTAGCAGTCCTGAGAGCAATGCCTCTAGGTTTAGTCATGGACAGTGGCATTACACACCTTTATGGCGAGTGAAGAGAAACGGGCACTTCTGGAGCACAGTATAACTCACTGTATATTAAACAGCTGAGGTTCAGTGAGATGAGGCACACCCTTGCTGCTCACATCAGTAATGCTGGGAGTGTCTGGTTTAGGATGAGATAAAAATTACTCCAGAGAAGTGCCAATTTATCTACGCTGTCTCTGAAAAGAAGTTAAAGGACCGTTCAGATAGAGGTGTCTATTTAAGATACCTATTGCAAGGCAAGATGAATCCCACTACAGGTTTCCAAAGCCATAGTGAAAGCAGAACCCTCACTTCCAGTAAGCCCTCCCCAGCTGCAGCTGCATCCATGTGAAGGAGAACATGCTACTACATCATGAACTGCTTTCTGTTTTTCAGTATCCGTTCCACTAATATTTTCCGGAATCTGGAGTCCACACGGTGCCTGCTAGCTGGGCTATACCAACAGCAGAAAGAAGGTTGGGGAGACTTCTGACCAGTGCCTTTCCTTGCTCAGTCTTCCCTAGCGGCACACACCTCACACATCCCAACTCTTTCTGGCTCCTGGTTGTTACTTCTTCCCTGGTTCTTTGTGCCTAGCCCTCTTCCCCCTACTCTCCAGGTTCTGTATGTTCTTTAGCAACTTGCCACTTGCTTCCTCTCTTTGTGTAGCTTTTTGCTGGTGCTTACCTTGAATACTGCAATTTCAGACCTACTGAGGAGGTTACAGTTAACCTACTTCAGAATCAAGAGGGCAAAAGGTTCCAGGTCAAATGTTCACAAGATGCACATCTGAAACAAGTTTCTTAGAGAAGCCTGAGTATCGTAGCCAAGATCCTTTACAAGTTTGGTGTCAGGAGTAACTTTCAGCTGTGTCCCACAGTTGACAGGCACTTGTACGTCCTAGAAATACACTCTGGGTTTTGAAGGTCTCACCTCTGCTCCCTCCCCACTTGGTTCCAGGAATAGTAGAAGTACCTTGCCAGAGGTCCTTAGGCCTCATGCCACAAACTCATCTTTGGCAGATACAAGCACTAGAAAAAATGAACACACAACTAGAAAGCTTTGCCAGGTGTGCACAGAAAGGAGCACAGTGGCTTGTGTGACAGGCAATAGCTCAGGGGGAATTGCTAGTTGGTAGCGATGGCCCGGAGCACAAAGACAATGGGAGTGATTAAAGCAGTCGCAGGCAGATGCACTTAGTGATCACAAAAGCTTCCTTCTCATTCCACAGGATCTGTTGTCATTGTCACTGATGAAGCAAGCTCTGAAATACTCTACCCCAATCACTGCAACTGCCAGCGCCTGAAATGCTTGACCAGGTAACTGCCAGCCACACCTCCTCGTATGATTTCACTGCGGTTTCATTTCAGAAGTAATTTAGCACATTTTCTTCCCAGTTTCTTCCCCTGCTGCTTACTGTTCTTTGGGAATGGTTAGCTAGTTGTACAAAATGCTTATGGAATGGAGTCGTACACTAAGTGGCACCAGAAAAAAAAAAAAAAAAAAAGACATTTTCCCTTTTTCTTGAAAGACAAATTTAGCCTGTGTCTAGCAATCACTCATTACTAGTTCATGTGCAGCTATTCTGCAGCATTGCTGCAAGGCAGAATTAGTGTTATCTACATAACTTAAATAGCCTTTCAACTGTGAACACATTGGGCCTCCTTTTTACATTCAGTTTCTGGTTTGGGGGTTTTTACAACATTCCCATCACATTTATACCTTGAAGAAACTGAAATATACTCAGCCTTGATATATTTAACAAAGACTAATTAAGTAAAATAAGGAACATCCTACACAGAAAGAACACCCATGTTGGCAAAATCAAGTACTCTATAAACGCTTGTGCCACCTTGGGCATGGGGTGCAAGCTGAAGAAAAGAGGCAAATGTATTACTTTGTTTGGATTATACATTAGCTTATTTTTGTCCAAAATTCATGATTTGTTAGAATTCGCTTGCAAAAGCTCATTCTATAACGCTTGGTTCTGCAGGCAAAGGATTGTTCTTGACAGTGGTGAGGTGACAGCCCATAGAAGCAGTACAGTTGACCTCTTCTAGTAATACTAACTGTCCAAAAAGGGAGTAAATTCAAAGGTTTTCCACTCCCTCCCCTCCAGCCCATTGTGACCATGTGAAGGTGGATTTTTTTGGCTGCAGAACGAAGCACTGCCTCACCTTACAGGCTGCCTGTGCCAGAACTTCTAGCACATTTGATTTCAAACTAGAGCGGTTTTTGAAAAAAAAAAAAAAAATAAAGAAAAAAAGGCAAACAAACTTCTCCCACATCCTCTCCCACAGATCAGGATCGGAGAGAACAAAACCTATGCAACATATTTTGCCTGAAGTATGTGCTCAGGATTGATATTCTCAGCTAAACTTTTTAAAATTAAATTTAAAACAGTGTAAGGAGGCAAATGGCTTCTAACAAAGCGAGAAGTGAATTTAAGCTATAAGTCAGTATCTAGGTGCTTCCATTTTCCCACACCATACAGCAACCATTTCAAAGCTTCTACCCTTTCTTCTTTCATGTGGCAGTTAAAGGCTGCTCCCTGAAGACACAGACTTGTGTTGTTCCAGTATGACCAGATCTGTTAACTGGTACACAGCCCTTGCTTATAGGAACCACTTGAGGTGTTCACATTTGATCTTCGTTTTTTCCCCTGCCTCTGTGACAGCAGAGAGCCAGCTCTGATCACTGACATTGAGACCAGTGTCTGTCAACTCTGCAGCTTAGACTCAAAATCAGGAATCACTCAGTATCCTGTGGTGCTTCTTTTCTATCTCTCAATGATGTGACACAACTCCACAGGGCTAGGGTCACAACACCACCCCACAACCCTTACCAGCCCAAAACCAAACAAACCTCCAACAAAACAAACATAAATCCAAAAACACAGGGGAAAAAAAAAAAAAAAAAAGATAGAAAGCCTGATGTGTGTAATTTTTTTTTTTTGTTTTTTTTTCCTAATTCCCTGGCAGGCATAAGGTAAAGAATGCTCTGCAACAGCCAGGTATCTCTGATGACTTGAAAACAATTAAGAAGAAGATGGGTATTGATGGTGAAAACTCTGTGGATTTTTTTCTCCTCCATGATAACATCCGTGCCGAGCAGGTGAGCCGAGCAGTTCTGTTGCGCTGTCACAGAAAGAAATGTCCCTTTACTGTGCATGTGGAGGAAACCACAGAGTGCCAACACCCACTGATTCCAGTGGGTACTCCAGTACCTTTCTACACAACCCAGAATGTTTATAGAAATAGCATGGTCTTTTTAAAAAGCAAGATGTGGAGTCAGCCTTGCTCTAGAATAGATGAAAACTCATCCCCATCGTTTTTGCTCTTTACCTTGAAATCCACTCTTTCTTTCAAGTGCAATGAAGTAGAGCTAAGGGAGCAATTGGACCTTACCTCCCTGTTATGAAGTGCTTTCCCTTTTTTGGCAGTCAGCACCTAACAGTCATCTTCACCAGTAATCCTGCTGCTGGAAAGGAGGTGGGCATATTTGTACCCTACTTAGCACCTCTTTTTCTCTGGAGCTAATGATCAATTGGTCTGTCTGTTGAATAGCTCAAGGTGTTATGCTCCTTTCACATAGAAATGCATCCTCAAAAACAAACATCCATCTTTTTGGTAAACAGAGCAAGTCTGTGTTTAAAACCACCCTAGAACTCCTTACATGAATACTGTAAGTACAAATGCTGTGATATGAACAGCTGTTTGCTGCGGGCCGTCATCCAAGTGTCTTCAGGCTGAGTTCAGAAAGGGTCAAACCCTACCGTTATGCTACATCTTGTCTTTCCAGGTGCACAATTTGCCAAGCTGCCCTGTGCTGAAAAACTTTCAGCAGACAGTTGAGCGTCGATCTGTTGACTTGGTGCTTTTCGTTCTGGAAGACAGTACAAGGTGATTGCCTCTATCCACACCTCCAGCCTTAGGGGTTCTCTTGGGCTTACCCAGGGTGGATGAGCTACACCAGCTTACTGTGGCAGACAGAAGTTCCTTCTGGTCTGCATTCCCCCACCAGAGACTACAGCCCCCTCATGAGGTTTGTGCCTGAGCCATCTCAGTGTAAAAGCCTCGAGTCAGGAGCATGAGCCAGAAGAAAAGGAGTCAATACTGAGGAGGCCAAGATGTGGGCTTGGGTCCTGTTTTGCTGACAGGCATGGTGAGAGCAGTCTCTGAGGAACATCAGTAAGCCACTGAGGTAGGCAGTGAATGCCTCAGTTGCCGCGGTCAAGTGAACCTGTGCCAAAGGCAAAAGCAGGATGGATATAGGAGGATAGGAGATGCCTCCAGCCCAAGCGCTGAGGCTGCATAGGCGAGGCTGCTCTTACAGCTGCACAGCTACAATCTGAATTCCAACCTGGGAAGTTTATCCCAGGGATGGCACCTGCACAGCAGAGCTGAGAAGTGTTGGTGCTAGTGGAAAAGGTGTTGCTAGGCCCTGCAGACAAGTAACCACTTGAAAAAGAATCTGCAGCTACATGCAGTTAATGGCCTCCTCCACAGCTGTTTGTCAAGGTGGCCAAGTGGCCAGGCTAGTAGCCGATTCCTTTCAGAGTCATTCTCCTCTGCCATATTCACCAGTTCTCCTGTGGTGGTACAGGACTGCCTCTTCTTGCCTTAGCCTTTTCTTGAACTTGTATTAGAGGTCTTGGTACTGAAAGATTGATTTCCCCAACTCCTACAACACCCAGGAGAGCCACAGTCACACTCGTCCTCCATCTCCACTGATGTATTTATTAGATAGAGGATGTTTCTTCACACCAGAATTTGTCTAAAGAACTCCCCTCTGTTTAACACAGGGATAAAATCTAATTTTTAAATATAGCCACCACCTTCTTGAATCCTTCCCCTTCCCATCAAAGATTTCAACTACTGCAGTTACTGTTTTGCAGTCAGCTACAGTCATCTTCCCTACATGAAAACCACGCATGGGAAAAAAAGCACAAAATCATAGAATTGTTTGGTTTGGAAGACACTTTCAAGATCATTACATCCAACTGTTAATCATAGAATCATAGAGTCCTTTAGGTTGGAAGAGACCTCCAAGACCATGAAGTCCAACCATCAAGCCAACACTACTAAGTCCTCTGCAACCAACCACTGCCATGGCACCACTAAAAAACGTCCCTCAAGTAACACACACATATGCATCTTTTAAACACGTGGATGGATGGCGACTCCACCGCTTCCCTGGAGAGCCTGTTAACAGTGCCTGATAACCCATTTCTCTGAACAAATTTTTTCTAATACCCAACCTAAACCTCCCCTGGTACCACTTGAGGCCATTTCCTCTTGTCCTATCACTGTTACTTGGGAGAAGAGACTAACACCCACCTTGCTACAACCTCATTTCAGGTAGGTGTAGAGAGCGATAGGGTCTCCCCTCGGCCTCCTCTTCTCCAGACTAAACAACCCCAGTTCCCTCAGATGCTCCTCATAAGGCTTATGCTCTAGACCCCTCACCAGCTTTGTTGCCCTTCTTTGGACATGCTCTAGCACCTCAATGTCCTTCTTGTATTGAGGGGACACAGGTCTTCTCACAATCACAACCAGGGAAAGAAAATAGCATGGAGAACATACAGGGAAATCTAGAAACTCTGATGTGGGTCACGCCTCACGAGACTGGTTTTTAACCCCTCTCCACTCCCAATCACATTAGAATCTCTGTAATGACTATACAACTGCTGAAATAGAAAGTAACCACAGGAATTACATTTAATAGTCCTTAGCTACACTCAATTCATGTTATCAATTCGTAAGAGAAAAGCAAGTTCCCAGGTGTTCATTTGAAATTAAATAATTTGAAACTTTTAAAACTAGTACATCTATTTCTGCTGCTTTTATAGAAAAGTTCTTCAGATGAGTGTTGGTCTCCTTTTCCATACCTTACAGAAGAACATTACAGAAGCAATAGATCCCTCATCTCCAGCTGAAAAGGCCAGGTACAGGACAGATCTCTTGCTCTAATTGTCACAAATTCAGTGTGAAAAGCTGGCTCAGAAAGATGCTGAACGTGTGGGGTAAAGAGAATGAGTGCTTATCTGTTGGAGAAAGCATGAGTGCTAGTGGCTATTCATGAAGAAACACAGTTAACATTTTAGGTTTGTTTTTCTTTCTCTTTTAATCAGAAAGCTCATTCTCTATGCTTGTCATGACACCACCCTCATTCCTCTCCTGGTGGCACTGGGCACCTTTGATGGCAAGTGGCCACCTTATGCTGCAGATGTGACCCTAGAACTGTATCAGCACCGGCAGTCCAAAGAGTGGTTTGTTCGCGTATCTTACCGTGGGGAGGTAAGATCCTGGGGCAGTCCCTCATACAAATCTTGGGGATTTGGGTTTTGCCAAACGTGCAAGACTTGTTCTGAGCACGCTGTCAAGTCAGATAGAGTAAGACACCTAGAGCACATCTATGGTAGCCAAGATACCTGTTCTGTTGAGCTGGCTATTGATGTAGCATGAGTTTCAGCAAAGACTTTGCACTTCTGAATCTGTCTTTGCCTCCACTGGCATTTCCCTGCCACAGAATGCATCGCTATCAGAAAAGAAAAGGGGCTTGGGCAAACACATGAGATCTGGGATTTTGTCTCTTTGCCTTTGCAGGAGCAAGTGGTAAAAGGATGTAAAGCAGGCTTCTGCCCACTCGAGGAATTCCTAGAAGTTCTTTCACAGTACTCTGTCAGTCCAGAAGAGTACAATAACCTGTGCTCCCAAATGGAGGAGGACTGGCAAACTGACTCATGATTAAGTTGTCTTAAATTAAAATTAAGTTTATTGTCACAATCTTTGACTATTTTTCTTTATATCCCTGACAGACTTCCCTATTCTAAAGGTATTTTAGATGAGGGGACTTTTTCCTACCCGACACAGGAGAGCACAGTGTCACTTTTCACCGTTAGCAAGATGAAAGAAGCCACATAACAGAATGGCTCGAGTTCACTTCTAAGGTAGCCACACAAAAGCACAGAGAGGCTCAAAACAGCAAGGGAGATAAGAGACCTTTTTAAATTGCCCTGCTGCTTCAGGAATATAGGAGAGCACATACCTGTTCCTCATATGCTGAGACTATGGGATGAAGCCCAGCTTGCTCTGTGCTACCAGACTTGAGTGCTTTGACATAACGATTGCTTTTATGTGTGGTGAGATGCAGAAGCCACTGTGCCTTTCCCATTCTTTTGTCATGCTGGAGGGTTGCTCCACAGACAGATGAACCTCCCAAGTTGCATAGCATTTAGCTACTCCATTTTCTTGAGGGCATTTTTGTGCACACAAAGCCTCTCCAAAGGGACAGAAAGCCTCCAAAACTCCTCCCTGCACTCTTGTAATTATGGAAATTCTGCTGCAAACATGCAAAACAACCACAGTGGGCCAAGTACAAGAACATGCACTCCTGGTGAACTCTGCTTAATGTGCTTTGTATGGGGAAGTCTGGGGATCTGCTACTGACTTCAGCTTTGGGCAGCTGTTTTGCACTTGCTGAAGCAGGAATACACCAGCATAGCCCACAGAAGCACTTCTATCTGAGATGATGACACTTTCTCCTGCAATACACTAGTAAGGAGCACTATGTTGCCCAAATCCCCGTTTTTCAAACAGTATATAAAACCTGCATCCTGACCTACTTTCTCTGGGATACATAAAGGCTAAAACAGGTGGACCACTTATCAAAATGGCCCTGCAGTTTTGGTTCTGCATTACTCCTCCTCACGTAGCAACAACAGACTGCAGCAATGTTGGTGTCAGTCATTGACAGAGATGTGACTGGAGGCACTACCATACCTTCTCCCCGGGAAGCGTGGGCTGGATTTACCTCTGCTCTTTCATTAGCCTGCCCCCACCACAATTACATGTTGACACCACTCGCAGCGAACAGAATAATTTGAATACTAACTACATTGCTGGAGGTCTCACTGAATTGCTATTAGAAGCTGTCAAAAAAGCAAACAAAATGTTATTTTCCACCAGGTTTTTATACAGCCTAAAACCATAATGCCATCATACAAAAATCAATGGCCTACCCTACCTTCAGAACAGAGTGTTCTCCTCCAGTCAAGCTCTCTCACGCACAGTATAAAGTATTTGGAGAACAGTGATGGAAACATTTGGGATACTAAATATTAGGCAAGTTATTTGTGAGGCGCTTGGGAAAGGGCTGTCGAGGAACAGCATCCACAAGTTTTGGCCCTACCAGCAGACAAAGCAGGAATTTACATGCCTTCTCCTAATCAAGATCTAGGAGCATAATAGTTAATTATCCAGCATGTCCAAACAAAACTGACCAGCAACCAGGCTGAAAATTGCAACACGGCCAAGACCCACAGAACTCAGAAGCACAAGCTGTCCTAGTGCACCTAGGACTGTTAGAGGGCACAGCATTCACACTGTTAAAATAATCATACTGCTTTAAGCAGAGTACATATCAGTAACAGCAGAAGACCTCAGAAAAACAGGGCAACCAGTCTAGGAAGAAGCCTCTGCCAGGAACAGGTGGCTTCATCATTGTCTCCTAGGAGGTTTCTGCAGCACCCTCTGTGCCCCACTCCAGTGTTACCTTTCCCCTCCGTGTGGAAGTGGTTGGGCCACGCACCAGTCTCATCCCACTGAGCAGCTCCATGGTAATCATGGCCCCAGTATGAAGGACGAGTTATTTCTGACCACAGCTAGCATAACTAATTATTTCAGAAGAGAATTGGTGGGACAGTGAAAGAGTTTTAAGACAAAGGACACAAGTAAGTTAGAAGTGCTGAACTGCAAACACAGAATAGGGCTGAGGCATTTCTGAGAAGACGGAATAAAAACTTCAGTAAATCAATGATTTTCCAAGGAACTAGTGCATTTACATGAATAGGCAAACTCATTGAAGAACTGGGAAAGACAAATCCCAGAGAACATAAAAAGAAATCCAAAACTTTCACTGTTATGAGAACTAGTGACATGAACAGCTAACACATTCAACCTCAGGTTCCCTCAGACTTGATCTGGGGCTGCTATCCCAAGTCTGTCTGCCTCCTCCCTTGCTATTTTAGTCCAAGGCAGTTAACACAGGTTGGTCAACTTAAGTCTATAAGACTTTCATTTTGCACTGCAAGCTTGTCCCTGTATATTATGTTTCATTTAAGACAATATTAGTATAATAGGCAATTGGCAGGAAAGCTGGCAGCTTAAAGTTAGGATTTTGTCTTCTCCTCATATAAAACATCCTCTTTCAAAGTTTCCAGTATCCCAGATAAACGGCACCACTTTTTTTTACTGCCTTGCTCTGACTCAAACAAAAACAACCATAAGCTTAAAACCTGAGTGTGTAATGAGTCACAAGAGCCTACACCTCTCAGGAGGAAAGGTTTGCTGGTTGAAAGTCAAAAGGAGATCAAGAGGACAGTGAGCTTGGTATATTTCTCAATAAACCAAACATAATGCAGCTGGCAGCTTGGGTCTTCTTATGGCCTGAAGAACACTCCTGATCATGTGCTTTAACCATAAGCAGAAAGAGTATGATAAAGCTAGATGTTACACATCTACCAGAACAAAGAGCATTAACAGAAATGACTGCAAACTATTTGAAATGCCTGAAAAATGAAAAAAATCTTTCAATTAGAGGTCGCCTCACCAGAAAGATGATGTGGCATATATGCAAGGCAACTTACCTTTTTTAGGTTAAGAAATAGAGTGAAGTGTGCTCTACTAAATACCGGCCTATATCAAACATAGATCATTTCTCCTTGAGAAGCATCAAAACAGGGAATGGGCTTCAGCCAACAGCCTGCCAAGGCTGCACAAGGAAAGCATTCACCATCATGAGTGCAGAAAAGTACCAGTAGTTAAACCTTTTCTGCCACCAGAACGAAAACCAACATAGCAGAGTCAGCATACAAAGCACTGCAAAATTAAGCCTGTGCATGACATATTGGTAATAGCCCCAACGCTCTGGCACAACAAATGGTGCATTCCAGCAGTCTAGGAAATGTGCTTAGGATTCACACTCACCCTCAGGAACAGTCAGGCACCCACATCTACTCCAAGTCAGGATACACATATTGTACCAGAAGCACCATATGCATTAAAATCCCAACCAAGACTGATGCAGATTAGATCTCCACATACTTGTCTATCTTCTGAGATATTATCCATTAGATACCACTAGGAGGTCAGGACTACACTCGTAAGGCTGGCTACTTGTTCATCATGTTCTTTGGTAGATTAGCTAGCCCATGATACAGGTACAGAGCTCAAGTTTATTTGGACAGTGCTTAAAACTGCCGGTGTGCTTCACAGGTGACCTCTTTGCAACAGTCTAATACTTTAAAACAGATTTCAAATATTTTAAACTTTTGATATAGCAGGCACATTACTTTGCGTTTCAGAAGTTCACCATCTGCTAAGTTTACCTTTTAAGTCTCCCCGCACTCCGGCTGCGCAGCCATCTGGGATGAGATAATTTGAACAGCAGACTGTTTCCTCCCATGTTACTAGAGAGGAAGAGCAGCCAAGCATGTATGAATAAAGTCTATTTCATTCTTTCAAACAAAGGTGGAGGAGGAGGGTTTGAAAGTGAAAAAAAAAAAAAGAGGAGGGGGAAGGGAAGACAACTAAAAACGGCAACCCCACTTTCTGTCTTCAACTGCAGCATGACTATCAGAGCTGAGTCACAGTTACTATTGATTATAAATAAGCAGGAGAGAACAGAGCCTGACTTACAGATCCCAAGGTGAGTCTGCAAGGCTGGCAGCTGGAAAGCTTTTTCATTTGCAAAGCAAAAATGGGAGAAGTAGAATAGTCTCAGAACAAAGTAGTTCAGTCTACATCTACTGAGTTGTTTTTGTGCCTAGAGCCAGTTAAGGAATTAAGGATCTCGTCACCTGGTTTGCACCAGTTGACAGACACCACTGAAGTTAAGTCCACCTGTGTGGACTCAGGAGAATCCACATCGTCTGCATTTTCTCCTGGAAAAATATCATTAAGGTACCAAACGCCAGCATCTTAAGTTAGATAGACACAGAAGGAACTTTAATTATGCAGCATTTTCAAAATGTATCCTTTCACTATAAGTGGCTTTGAAACAGTGAATCCCCTATGCTAATTTTTCTAGAATAACTGGCAGCCACCTCAAATCCCTTGCTATTCAAAATACCTCAACAGGCATAAGAGGCACTGAGAAAGACTTAAAAAAACAAACCCTCCAGGTTATTTCTGTGTGGATCAAGAAGCTTGCTTTGTTCAACATGGTAAAAACAGGAGTTGTGGCAGAAGTGGCAACACTTTAAAAGGTTGCACTGTGACAGTTCTCGTGCAAGGTCCTCAACATGGATCTGTGCAAACATTTAAAGAAGAGGTAACTCTGCTCTAGAGAAATAACACTTAATGTGTCATTGTCAGCTCTTCCTAAAATCTTGACAAGCCCGTGCTTCAGGCACCCTGCTTGTCTCATTAAAGGAGGGAAGCACCACAACATACATCCTACACTTTGTCAAAAGAGTAATCCTCACCCAAAATCGTTGTAAATTTGCATGACAGCACAAAGGTGAATTTGGAAGCAAGCAACAGAAGGCTCCGAGGCTCGCATGCCTTCAACAACGCACGGCTTCACTCATTTTGTAAGACAAGCAACAAAACTTTGGTAAGCCAGCCTTCGACAGCAATTCTTTTTCCACCTGTGAAGTATCAGTTAACTATGAAAACACTCACGCACAGACATTTTAAAGACACTTATTCTCCACATGAAACTCACACCCATAGTCAGCCCTTTGAGGAAACTACTCATTGGAATAATTTCAAGTAGCAGTAAGCAGAAGAAAGAACAGAGATTACATACTCCATATAAGTGCTGAGGGATCAGAGAGCAGATGGACACAGAGACCACACTCTGCTGTACAGATCCACATCTGGCTCATCCTGGTCTTCTCCAGGAGCTGGGCTCAACTCCCAGTCCATGGTCTGGAATCCAATGTTTCGCTCCTCAGACCAACAGATAAAACCTTGCTGAAATTCTCTCAAAAGGCAAATTTGAAAAGACAGGGGATTAGGAAGCAATCGATGAGAACTGTGGCAAAGCAACAATTTACCCAGCAGGGCTGTCTTGATGAAAATCTGCTCACCGACAATTTCTCTCTCATCTTTGTGATTTAAGTTCATCCATTCCCCACCATCTCAGCCACCGAGCGCTGGCAGTCAGACCCTACCCAGCCTAAAGGCCCCAGGGGGACACACAACCTCAGTGCCCCACACAGCCTTGGACTCCAGTGCTCGGTAGACAGGTGCCAGTGCTTGGGGAAAGCCCAAACCCACGTTGTTGTGCTGCAAACACCAGGAGGAAGTGACAGGGACACCTTCAACAAATTGAGGAAGACTGTTGCTATCATCCCTGGGGCATTCTGAAACAAGACCTCGCTCTGAGGAAGAACTAGCACAGTTCAGAACTAAGTAAATGGAAGTGCCTTGCATAGAGCATGAAGCTGCTTACAGACCAGACTTTTAAGAGCTGCCAAAGCTTAACCCACCTGGCCTCTAGGCTGGCTGTGACCATAAGGAAGAGTAAATAGTCACCTGGCCAGCTGGCTGTTGTACGTAGAACCAACTAGACTGGATAAAGACAACAGTTCATTTTTGTAAGAAACAATATATTTTATTTTTCTGACACCACAGCCCTGGCAAGTGGTTTTGTACCAAATTTAATGGAGGTTACACAGAACGTTTTACGCTGGGGAGGAAAAAAAAATAACCACAAAAAAATCCTGGGTAACTTTTAGTGTCTGTTCCACTCCCACATTAATAAAATCACTTGGGGTTTCTAAGAAAAGGAGAATAGGAAACAGTGAGAGAGACTACTGTATGATGTAACAGTGTCCAAGTCCAGCCCCTTCCTAAAAGTGGGAAGAGTCCCCACATGAGGAGAGGCTCTCCTAGATTTACTCCTCAAAATAACACAATGTATTGCAGCTGCCATAGGAGGAGACAGAAAGGGGATGGAGAGAGAGAGAAGCCTATTTAATAAAGAGTGGGAGGGAGAGACAGAAGGTGCTGGACAGCACGCCATAATTTGAAAAATATGTCCTTAACTTATTATTTATTTCTTTTAAAAGATTCCCCTCACTGAACTTAAGTTCCTTTTTGTGCTTTTCATTAATACTCTGCTCTGAGGTCGTAGTTTGGTTTTTCTATACATTGGAGTTGAAGGAAAATAGTCCAAAGTTCCAAAGATGGATTCTCCACCTAAAGTAAACAGCCTAGAATCCCATTCTCCTCTCACCCCAAAGACTAAAGTCTCTGCTAAAATCCCTTTTACAATATAGTACAGTACACAAAAAACCCCAAAAATAACCGAGAGTCCTGGGAGAAGCCAGTCCGAAGGACGTAAACATACAGAGAATGGTGCAACTTGTGACAAATGGCAATTCTCAAAATACAGCTACAGATTCTCAAAGCAGGTGCCATCACGGGATACCCAAGTTCACAAAAATAATTTTTAAAAAATAAATCTTAAAAAAAAAAACTGTTAAAATGATTTTTTTTTTTTTTTCAGGTAATTCCATACATTCGAGATTTCCCAAAGCATCCTCTGGTCTCTTTTCACCTATTGCATGGCCAAACTGTACTCCTGAAGCTCCCAAAAAAGCCCTCAGGACTTGGAATCTCATCTTGACAAGGATCAGAACATCCAGTCTTATGGTAGCAGCTTAAAACATCATGTTCCCTGGGTTTCCAGGGCCTTGGCTAAATCCTCCCATGCCAACGTCAGCAGCCATACCTCGGGGCCTCATCTGGGGAGGAATCATGATGTTTTGTTGGGGTCCCATCATGCCCTGCATTGACATCATCATCCCAGGTGACCCCACGGGGCCCGGGTGGCTGTACAGCCCTGCAGGGGCTCGGTCCTTGCCCGGGATCATGCCCACGGCGGCCACGGGGTTGCTCATTAGCGCGGGCTGGCCAGGCATTGCTGTTTGTGCTGGTGACATCATGCGGTGGTGCGGCCCCATCATGCCTTGCTGCAGGAAGGCAGGCGGTCTCATCGGGTTGTGACCTGGCATGGACGGAGCCGTCCCAAGAGGGATATCTGGAGTTCCCACTGGCCCAGGGCCCCCCATGCCAGGCAACGTTAGTCCCATCCTCGGGGTCTGCTCTCCTATCATCCCCTGCATGTGGGAGAACCCCGGCCCAGGCCCCTGCGGCTGCTTGCGGCCTGGCACCTCCCCACGAGGGAAATACTGTAGTGTCTGGCTGGGCTTCTCCGACGGGATAATCCTGGACAGGTCGAACTCAGGTATTCCCGTGGCCCCGGGGCGGATCACCTCCTGCAGCTCTGGATCGGCGAAAACCGAAGGCATGTTGTTTCCAAGAACAGTGAAGGAGTCTGGACCGCCGGGGCCTCCAGTCTTGCAAAGTGCTGGATCTGTCGAACTTTGGGGCAGGTTGGTAGGACGCCCCAGAGGTCCTTCTCCGTGGAAGCCCATTCCCGCTGGGAAGTTGCCTTGTCCACCGCTGGGCCCGTTGTGTGGAAATGGCACCTGCTGTGGAGGGGACTGTACGGGAGGGAACCCCTGGGGGAAGCCCAGGCGTCCTTGAGGTACCATTGGAGACTCCTGGGAACCATGCCCCATCATTGGGTTGTGTGACATCAGGCCAGGTCCCACTGGGACCCCGTGAGGAGGTATATTGGGTCCCATAGCATTTGGAGAGGGCATCTGGTTGTTATGGGAAAGAGGCTGGGTCATTCCCATTGGGCTAAGGGTTGGCATTGGACCCACTGGGTTTGGACCTGAAATTCGAGGATTCTGAGAATTAATGCCCATACCTAGGGAAGAAATAAGGAATCGCATTTAAATAACAGCCAATGATCATTAAGAAAGCTACCAGAGAACTTTCCACAAGGTTACCAAGTCTTCACACACAAATATATAGTGCTAGTAAAGAACCATCTGTAGTGGCTCTGGAAAAATGTTATTTTAACCAGAAACTTGACACCTGCACAGCTGCCTCTCTAGGCTTGTCACTGCCACATCAGAAAGTGACTAAAGCCTGCTCTCTAAGTAGGATCTGATTCCAACCCATACCTTAGCTTCCCTGGCAGTCTAGATGACGCAGACAGTAGCAAACATGTCTGAGACAGATTACCAGCATATGGGCATTTGTCCACTGGGAAGTGACTGAATCTCCTTTTGAAACTCCAGAAGTGACAAATCAGGTAACCTTCATAAGACTAGGAGGTGGTGATCAGTGAGGTTAACGAGCTATCATCATGAACTTATTCAATTAGCCAGCTTCCCCAGGTATATTCAACCATTCTGATCGTTACTGCGTGAAACGGACAGAAAACTACATGTAAGCTCATCAAGTACTCATTGCCAAGTGCCCCTCCCATGAAACATCCACTTGTCCCCTCTTTCAACTACCTTAATTCAATTGGGTGGAGGGGCTACAGCCTACTTTTTTATTGAAGACATACCCACGAATATCAAGCTATCAGCAGCGATTGGATTTCTCATCTAAACATGTGTACCCAGAAGACAGCTCAAAAGGACTTTTTTTTTTTTTTTTTTTTTTAAAACTTTCCCTCTCTCAGGTAGGGACCAGGAAAGTTTCCCCTCAGCCCTAGCTGAGGTCACCTGCCATTACACATTCCTTACACGATAAGATAGAGTGCTTTCTCAAAACATACAACACTCTTCTATAACACAGTCAATCTACAAAACCCAGGAAAAGACTAGATGACTCAGTATTAAAAAAAAAAAAAACACAAACAAACCAACCCAGCAGAAAACTAAAGCTTCTGTGGGACTTCCATAAGCCCAGGGGAAGAATGGCTTCCTTTGGATAATACATTGTAGGTCTGACCCTTATACCCATGATCAGCTTTCACTCACACAAGCAATTCCAGTCTGCCTGAGTGAAAATCTCTCCCATACGTAAGTGTTTTACAGACTAGAAACTTTCTGAAAAACAGACACTTTCTGGACAGAAAACACTGTTTGTAAAGACAATTTCTGTCTCCCCATTTCAGAAAATTGCAATTCTGTTCCTCAGAAGCAATCCATGGCTATATATTCTTCAAGTTTTTTTACCTCTCACCACCTTCATTTGATGAAGCTTCCATAAACATCACCCTCACTGTAGTGCCTGACAGCTTGGGCTTATGTATCTTCGAGTTTCTTACCTGGTACGCTGTTCATAGGTGGCAAATTTGGGGAGCGTGCTGGAGGGGAGTCATCGTCTGAGCTGGCCACAGTTTTGATGGCATCATGATAGAGCGGTGTAGAGCTGGGCATGGCAAATTTGGACATCCTGGACATCATAATGGAGAGGGGATTCTGGGAGAGGGTCGGCTCTGGAGGCATTGTGTAAGGACTGCTAGAGGGAAGATTTCCAGGGAGAGTCACAGGAGCAGACTGGCTGACTGTGGAAGGAGGTGGACCACCTTAGAATAAAAGAAAAAGACTTTCGTTTTCTTCCTTCTTAGCATTTTTTTTTTCCCTCTTAAATCCCACCCTTTTCTCCTAGAAATCTGAAAAACTAGAAATCGCTTTTATTGCAAGAGACCATCTGACTAATGCTGTCAATACCTGTGAAAGGTAACCAGAAAAATAAAGTCAAGATAGTTAATGTTTGTTATCCTGGATTCTGCACTTCTACTGGAAATATCTTGAGCATCTACAAACCCACATGAAGAATTTTCAGGCAAGTCTGAAGTTTATACTATTAAACTTCCATACACTAAAAACAGACTTAGGTTCCAGGTCTGGACATAAAAATTCAAATCTGTAGTCAACAAATTGTTCCTGCACCCACCAAATGTTAACTGTACATCCTTTCCCTTTTGCTTTAGGAGGCATCAAAGCACAAAGGACATAAGCAACACAACCAAAGCTGTAGCAGATACTATGCATGACAGCAGATTTGTGACAAGCTGCATTGGCAGCTACAAGTAAAAGTCCCTGTTTATGTTTCAAGTTTTATACAGATGTATCTACTGCTCCACTTAAAGAAGCGCTCTCTGCACGTATTAGCTTAACATTGCTCTCTCAAAACGAGAAACAGCTGCACTTCCTATGTCCTTTCTTCCTCACTGATGAATTTCATGCCACCCAGACCACATGTGAAGACACTAAACCCAAGTGGTACTGCCACTGCAAACTCACTGGACGCCACCCCGAGGAGAGGAGAAGAGAGAACACGAACATCCCGCAGTGCGAGGGGCGAGCTCCCCGCGCCGCCGTTACCCGCAGCGGCACTAGAGGGCAACGTGGCCCAGCGGCTCCTCGCCGGCCCTCGCCTGGATGGGGCGAACGGGCCCCGGGAGGGTTCAGGGTGGGAAGGACAGGGCAGAGGCGTGCCGCCAACAGCCCCGAGAGGTTCACGAGATGCAGCTCCAGCACCTGCGTGACGACGTCCCAGGCTCCTAACACCACACACGCCAGTGGCTCGCTGTCTCCAAAATGGTTGAAGCATGCACAGACGTTAGCAGGCCTCCCACCTGCCACAGCAAAGCTAGAAAGCACTGACCACACCTGACGTACCTAGATACACAAGTGGCTAACTGTGCTCAGCATGTCTCTGTAGGAGCCTTTTGTCTCAAAGCATTTTTTTTAACATCAGCAGGACCTTCTCCAGAAAGCTACGATCACTGGAGGTTATGGCAGGACAGTCAAAAACCCCTCCAAGGGGAGACTTCTCCCATCAACACTCCACTTTTTCCACACTTCTTGACTCCACCCTTTCACTTTCACATCCTGTGAGTGACCAGCCCTCGCCTCAACACACAGAAGGCACAGTGCAAACCCACAAATCCAATGTGAGGAAGAAAGCCGCTTGCACTCCACTCACAGATACCTGCCAGACCCTCAGCACAGCATCCCTCAATACGGGCAAAACACTGTCTAGCTCCACCACCCTGAAAGAAAACTCCTTCCTCCCTTTGCTTGCACACCTTGGGGCAACCCAAATATGAACCAAAAAGCCAAATCCGGCTAGCAGAGGTGGCACTCACCTGACTCCACATTCCCCAGCATGGCTGGAGAAGACATGGTGAGAGATGCCTTGTGGTTCGGGGGAATCCCAGGGCTCTGCAAAGGAGGCTTTGGAGACGAAGTCCATCCCGGAGAAGGTGCAGGGAGAGATGGAGACTTGAGGTGGACAGGAGAAGCAGCAGCAGACCCCAAGACAGGAGGGGACTTAATGGAGGCAGCAGCAGCTGCAGCAGTGGGACCCGCAAGCA